GGCAAACTTCCTGTAATTCTTTCAGCATGGGTTCCAGTAGAAATTTGCCGAGTATGCTATTTTTAGAATGCTTTTATTCCTCTTCAATGTTTGGATACAAGTATGCATAATTTGCCCAATCATTTCTCTCACAGACTTTGTAATGTATTAAATTGTTAACTGTAGTTGTTATTTGCATAATAAGAAGTACAGTTTCATCTTGATGCAGAAGAACTCACATGTGTATCTGCCCATTAATGTTAATAGAGGTTATGGGCAGATCATAGAATATCAGGGTTGGAAGGACCCCAGGAGATCATCTAGTCCAACCCCCTGCTCAAGGCAGGGGCCAATCCCCAGACAGATTTTTGCCCCAGAGCTCTAAATGGCCCCCTCAAGGATTGAACTCACAACCCTAGGTTTAACAGGCTAATGCTCAAACCGTTGAGCTATCCCTCCCCCTGCAATAAGTCCCTTTACACTGGCCAGCATTGCTATTATATATTTCTGTTTTCAGAGGTTTATAATCTGGTGTTAAAAATTCTTGGACTGAATCTTGGCACACAAGGTTTTAGCCCAGGAATAGATTTTTTCACAAAATTAGGAAATAATGGGATTAAATACTTTGGAATCCATGGCCCAAATTCAGCTGTGGTTTAACTCCACCAACTTCAATAAAGTTACACCACACATGAATTTGGCCCTTAAGTATATAATACCACACACAGACACACACAGAGTATAAATGCATATATATTCTGTATTTTCACATTCTTTGTTTTCAAATTATTTAAAAAATCTGTTTTAAAACAGATCCTGAGAGATAATTTAACAAATTTGCACTTGAACAAAGGACAAAAAATAATGGAACAAAAACAATGTTTTTGTGCATAAATAATTATTTGATGTCAGTCCCCTCCCCCAACCACACACTATGTGCTTGTTCTATATGAGCACATGAATGTAATGTTGGCTAATTGTCCTTTTGTGCAAAGTTTACATGCTGATATAATTTGATGTTTTATTATCACAGCCATTTGTAATGATTATAAATTAAGAAGTGCCCTTCATTTGAGATATTTAGTAGCACAGATGTTGTATTTGTAAAAATCTTAAAGGAATGCCTATACAAAAATGACAAGCTACCATCACAACATTCTATATTAAAATCAAATGCAGATACAATTCTTGATTTGAAATTTTGCTAAACTGTAATGCTTTTAAAAACATTAAGTGGGTATAATCAGTCATTTGACATTATTCTAAATAAAAGATAATGCTATTTAAAGTAATATTTCACTTGGTGTTGTCATGATCAGTAATATGTAATACAAGTAAATGAAAATGAAAAACTCATTCTTGCATTTTAATAGAATAACTGCAAAGTTATCATTTAAGGACTTAATCCTGCAAACAAGATTGTACTTGCTTAACTTTACATAAGTGAGTAGCTTAATTGGCTTCAATGGGAATGTTCTTGTGAATAAAGTTAAGCATGGGTGGAAGTGCTTGCACTTAAAAGGCCTCACTGTGGTAAACCAACAGATCTAGCTTGTCTTTATAATAAGTCAGTTGCAAAACCTGCCTCCATTACATTGTGACCATCATTCTGGACTGTATTCCAGAATTTGTTTTCCATTTGTACAGCCTGTTTAAACACTAATGCTTCGATACATACGGAAGTTTACAAGATTATTTAAAGGCTCCAAAAAAAGCTGTGAAATCTTCATTGTATTGACAATTTTCAATTTCTCCTTTTAGAGAAGTGTCACTGACCAGTTTGAGAGGTTTGCAAGCTTCTTAGTATGTTGCTTTGCAGAAACCTATGCAACATGAGAATGTGGGCAAGTGTTGCTGTGAAAACCTGACGCATGGATTTTAGAAAATCCAAAATGGTAATCAGGATTTTATGGCTAAATCCTAATTTTTGCATTCTGTGCATGTCAAAATATAGTTTTACGATCATCTTTTCTTTAGTGAACTAAACAGCCATACACCATACTTTAAAATGTTGAATGCATGATAAGTTGTCTTATTCAAATACAACAATAATATAAAAATCATTTTAGGATAATTCTTCATTTCACATACAGTCAAACCTCTTATTCAGGGACATTGGTATTTAGTTGGGAATTGGTCCTGCTTTGAGCAGGGGGTTGGACTAGATGACCTCCTGAGGTCCCTTCCAACCCTGATATTCTATGATTCTATGACATTCAGAGCAAGTATACTGTGGTATAAATGGAACTTTTTGACTTTAACTCACACATTCAGAATGAAGGTCCCCATAGTACCATTAACTCTGCCACTTGCTGTCCAATTGTAAATAGGACAACTAGAAAGAGAACCCTTCATATTGTATGTCAATTATACTGTGAAATTTGAATTTATTCCATTAAGTATATGAAATATTTAAATATCCTACCCATTCCCAAAGTTAAAACATATTTATTAAATAAATATTTGCCTACTAAAATATGATGGTGCTTAGTTTTAACCGATTGTGCAACAGAAGACTCTGGGCCCAATTCTCCTCAGCTTGCGCCTTGCAAAGTTATGCAACACCTGAGCAAAACGGCTCTAGAACTCCAACAGCACTGTGAGTGAAGAATCCTGGATTGAAAGTATTTTACATTCACTGTTTTGTATCTAACTGTGGGATTCCTTCAAGGGGGACAGATCTACTATAACATGTAGGATAGATGATTGTCTACAGCAGCAAAATGGTCTCTGGCCACTTTTTGTTTGAGAGATTGTAGACCTGGGACAAAATTACATTTGTCAAGGTTTGTTCATTAAATGAAGACCCTAGAACTGGCTCTGTGATCTGTTAATGATACCAGAACCCAATGGGAGTACTTCATGATCTTGTCCAATAACTTCACAGCCTTCAGTAAGTCCAAATATTGTCTTGCAGCCAGCCACATCTCAAATTACACCTATACACTCATCATTTTAACATCTTCCCATTGGCCAGACCATTTCCAGGTAGACAACTCCACACTCAGGTTTAGCTATAAAGCAATCCATTAACTTCCACATTTTATTTAAAACTAATGATTTTTTCCCACTTTAATGCTGAATTAATAAATGGATACTTTTGTTGGGAGTAGCAGTCAACATAGCCTGTACAACATTATTCTTCAACAAATCTGTGGCCACCTAGAACTTCATAATTGGAAGATCATTATGGCAGAGCTGAGATACTCCTGCTCCATAAACATGAACTCTTAACCCATTAATTTAAGAATTACTGACAGCAGGAAAGGGCCTAGCACAAAGTCAAGCAGTTCTGATGCCATCCAGTAGAGGGGAGTACTATACATGGAACTTTACCAACTTAATTATATGTTCATGAGTTCAGTTATTTGCATCCACAGAAACGAGGATACTTTGAACAGTGGGAAAAATAGAATATGTTTGGAATGGAGGTTAATATCGGGTAGTGAAAGTTACTGGAATAATATGTGATAGAGAGGATTTGGGGGAGGAACAATAAACTCTGATTCTTATAGTTTTTAAGACAAAAAAATAAGATGAACTTCTGTAAATGAACAAACCTCCTTCATAGGAGTTGCTGTTACTTCTACTGGAACCTGTACTATTGAAGAAAAGGTACCTTATTTTAATATAACTTCCACAAGTATCATTGACCATTTCTTTACAAGTAAAAAATGCTTTTGGAAATAATGTCTCCTATAAGTAAACTGTAGACATAAGTCTGGACCCACAGCAGTCAAAGAAAGACAGAATTAAGATGAATCCTTTCATGGGAACCCCACACTCTACATGCTTATGGGAGAAAAAGGTCAACTTCTCAGAGGCCAATATTTGTATGCTATGTTTTCTCTTTTAAACCCTGAATGGTTTTTATCCATTCATAGGAAGTATCTTTGGCTGCACTCCTCCTTTTCACTCTTCAAAAGAAATCCCAGATGTTATATATTAAGGTATATAGAACATTTTGTGCTGCTCTACATGATGCAAATTTCTGCAAATATTTTCTGTGATGGGTGCACCTTCTCCACTACAGAACCTATGCAGTTATTAGCCATTTTACAGTGTATAGGTTTGACACCAAGATCTACTTCAAAGGAATTCTACAGTCATTTGATAGCATAAACAGAAACAAAGAAAATGAAAAGGATTTTGCCAGTCGATTAAAAAAAACTGGAGTGGATTTTTGCACTTATGAAAGAGAGAAGCTAACAACATTCATTAGGACCAGCTATGAAGTGGGCAGATGCTGTGAAAGCTTTCATGGTACAGCTCAGTCCCAGCCTCAACGTCTTTGTTTTTTCCAGAATTCAAACTCTGTTGGGCAGAAACTAATAAATGCAAATTGGTGTCAGTAATTTAGTGATAAATATCCACAAGGTACAAATAGTTAATATCTTTTAAAAAATATAAATAATGATATTGACTACATATATGAACAAATAAGAGATACATTTGCAGTTGCACTACTAGACTGAAACAAGGGACAGCAACCCTTATGCTTCTGATCATAAGTTGATTTTATGTGGGAGTCAGTAAAAAAATTTCATTTATGGTACTACAACACACACATGGCATTGTGGGATGGAAGGTTCACCTTCCTTTGATGCTGCTGATATGACAGTTCTTATGTTAAGATATTAGACTACATAGACAACCAAACTCAGTGCACCTATAGCCTGAAAACAGATTTATAAATTACTTTGAAATGAAAATATGGTGCATTAAAAATATTGCCACCTACCTGTAATTGCCTTTCTGCAGTAAATCTAGTATTGCCATTGCTTAATTTACTGGACTATCTAGAAAAGCCTTTGAGTAAATTCCTTGCAACGCATAGCAGAAACACACCCTTTTCCCAAGAAATCCAGTTTTCAGTGGATTCGCAATATAGCCAATTCTTTCCCAGATCAGATGACTACGTGGATTTCTTAGAATACTCATGTTAAGTACATGATTGGTGTCCAAGAATCCCTTTGCACCACTAGTGCTTTAAACAGTATGAAATTCACTTTGAATCTTACCAGAAAAGACACTGGGAATCTTGGAAAGAAAACTTTTGACTGTACGAATAGGAATCCCATTTTTCTCATCCTGCATGCGTGCTATGACGTCTTCCATCTGAATATAAAGAAAAAATAAAACCAGCATTATTTCCTAGCAGAAATCTATTATCTGAAAACCTTAATTCAGCCTCCCAGAAATGAGGGCCTGCTACCTTTATTTGACTTTTTTCCCCCAATAATTTCATTTTTTATTTGAAGAGGATAAAAAACCCCACAAGTTCTTTATTTAAGAACAGCATTAATGCAATGAGAGTTTGTGCTCCGACAATACTTGAGAGAGGAATGCTGAGGCATAGCAGGAAGATTTCATTCTGAAGAGATTACAAACCATTATTAGAGACAGAATCTCACCTTCTATTAATGTTACCCAATATAAAAGAAACCAGTAGCTTTTAGAGTGTCTAAAGCAGCTATCTAAACTCCCCCCTCTCCCAAAAGATTCCAAAATGGTGTCTGTGATAGTCTCATTCACAGGTGGTTTAGATGCTGTAAAAGCTTTTTCCTCTATTCAAAAGCCCCAGTCCTCGACTTAAATGGAAGTTATGAGTGCTCACTTCCTTGCATGAAAAGACCCATGCAGTCTTTTTGGTGATTGAGGACGGTATCAAAAAGGCTATTTGAAACTAAAATGAAGCTTTTAAGTCAATAGCAGCCTATATTCCCACTTCTCTCTTGAGACGAAGAGAAAGAAAGGACAAATGTTCATGGTGGGATTTGCCTGCCACTGAGACAGTACAGCCAGAAATGTAGGTTGTTCTCCTGGTAGCTGGCTGGCCAAGAAAAGTCTTGAGCCCTTTTGTATTATTATTCTGGGTACTTTTATTGTATTAGCTAATTTATGCCTGACTAGATTTTACAAGCCAACTGGGCCTGCACTTGTTGTAATTCAAGCTAAAACCAAACTTCTGTTGGCTACAAACGAAAGCATGAGCAAGCCCTTTTATTAGAGAATCATGGTCAAAATCCTGACAGGCTGATTAGTGGATATATTATATATGGAATAAGATATCTCAAACTTTATCCTGATATATAGTAAACTTTAATAAAGAAACACAAGTTAGACAAATTCTCTCTGTATATATTTTAAAATATACAAATGAAATAATCCAACTAATAATGATTTTACCCCTGTACATTCCTTCATTGTCATTAGTAATAGAATCCAAGCTCCATGGAAAATCCTTGGTTCTCTATGTTAAAGTACATTTTAAAATTTTTGATTACAGAGAATACTTGGAGACCCATTTACTGCAATTGCACGTGGATTATATATGGACAACTTGGTTAAGAGCACATAGGTCCAGCTGTATAGGCAAACATAGGTTAACTTACAATGCATATCTTGTGTGTGAAGTGCATAGCAAGATGTGGAAGACCAAAAATAATGCTTACAACTACAGGTTACTGAAAATGTAACTCCAAAGAAAGGAGATGTTCATTATATTTATGAAGAGTAAATGAAGTCAATGCATGATCTTTGGATACACATTCTTTAAACAAAAATTGGATATTAAGAACTGACTAAGGAAACTGAAATAGTGCGACAAATCATCTGAGAGTTGGAATCTGGCCCTGCATTTACTATCTAAAGAATAAAGAAGACCCTGCCTCTATTGAAGTTAATGGGAAGGTTACTGTTAACCTTAATGGCAATCCTAAATGAAAAAAAAGTCTGTCAGCTTTAGCATAAGACTTTCATTTCAGATTAAAGATCCATTTTCGACCATTGGTGCATAGGTCGCCCACTGAAGTAACCAGGACAACTAGAGCAGAATTTGGCCCTAGGATGGGTCTATTGAATCTGCCTCAGAGGACTCTGCAATGTGTTGTTACACTTCAAGTTCAGAAATGAAGATCCCCTGAGCAAAACCTTTCTGAAGCTTTAAATATCAGCATTGTGGACTGACTGGCTTAATCAGTATGCACTGATTATAGTTTAAGTGAGTTTGTATGTTCTGAAACTAGATATAACAGAACACCTGCCTCCTAATTAGTTACAACAGAGCTAGGATTTCTTGCATGTGCTTAGTTGGATTAGAAGGCCTTGTCTCATCTCACAAAAACAGCACAAACAATGGATTTTTTTAGACAATCACTGTACAATATTATACATAAGATCTCAGGAGAATGAAAAGTAGAAGAAAATGCTCCGATTTATGTCTCCAAAACATCTAATTCAATACATCTCAGTACATAGCTCAATTCCCAGTGTGTACAATTCTTTTTTTTTTTCTGTTTTGCCTGTTTTAAATTCAGCAAATGTATAATCTCTTCCATTGCAAAACATTATGTCCTCATTTAATTATATTTGGGAAACAGTCCTCAAGGCTTTTCTCCTCAGTTAGTCATCAACATTGACTCAAACAATACAAAGGATAGAACAGCTTAATTAGGGAGATAAAAAGAAATCCTCTTCTAATTTTGATTGAGAAGTCTAATCTGGGAAACACAAGCTGCTGTTTGACATAGTAGCTTGCCTTCCCGATGTGTCACAGTTTGCTGCTCAGTCACCTGACTTGATGGTCAAAAGTGAAGTATAAGCTGCTTTGCCTTGCCTCTGTAGTAGCTTCTTGCTGTTCCTTTATTATCTGCTTATCTGTTTAAACCAGACTAGCTTTGACAATGCATTGGGATTTATTAGTCTTAACCTTTATTTAAAAAAAAACAAAAAACAAAAGCTGGGGTGATGGGTTCTCAGGTTGATCCTGGAACCTTTCCAGAGGTGGTGTTCAGTGCAGTAAATATTTGTCACGGTAAGATGGAATGGCAGACAAGGTAACATTGAAATCTCTAGTCACATTACATGTAAGGGAGAAAATATCCAGCAATTTGGAAAAGGGCAATTCACACCATGTATCTATGAACATATTGTTATCTGTCTCCCCCGTGCTTCCATTTCCCAACTTGGAAATCTATATTTGAGGGCAATAGGTCCAAAAGCAGCACTCCATATTCAGGCAAAAGTCCCAGAGATCAGTCAAAGTTTTTTCTGTGTAGGGGATGCAAACTTGGTCCCCATATTTGAAGCAAAATCTATCTACACACTGATGGCCACACTCATTGTACTTGAGGCTTTTCAACTTCTAAAAGAACTTTTTAAAATCTTTTATAATAACTATTACAAGATCAAATATGTATACGGTGTTTTGGTTTGGTTTCCAATAGCATTAAATCTCAGTGAGGGTGGCACTACATATTATATATTATCTCCTTCCCATTTTCCTCTGGTCTTGCTCTTTATGAATTTATAAAAAGATTGAGAGTGTGAGGTTTGAGACCCCTTCTGTCCTACTAAGCAACAAAAATATTCAAATCCCTGAGCCTCAAATGAAAAGACTACACAGAATATTCAAAATCAGTCTGGTTACCAATAGTTCAAATGTAGTATTAACTACTGTACAGTAAGAAGAGTCATTCATAATTTTAACAAAATTAAAAAGTTCTCTGGGAGAAAGGGCTTGAGCAATTTGTACACTTTCAAGATTAAAAATAGACGAAATTACTTGTCTGCTGTGATAGAATTTAATGGATGTCTTTTTCATACTCTTTAGGGGAAGGAGGAGATGAAAAGACACTCTTTGAACTCTCATGGAAATGATTAACCTCTAAGTGTTAACGTAGCAAGATGGAGAAATAGGGTACTTATAGTTCAATTTTAAACCAAAAGATATCCTTAAAATAAGAGTTTCAGCCTTTAATCATACCAATGCATGCTGTGATCCCATCAGATCTGACAAAGAAGAGCTGAGATGATGCAACGTTGGGATGAAAAATCTTTAAGGAACACATATTGTAGGTGGTGTAGAATGGGGCAATGGCCATTCAGTAGGTTACTCTCTTCCATCCTAGTGATTACTGATGCTGAGCCAATGTGTGCATCTGCATGGCACTGTGTTGCCTTTTGGATGAGATGTAAAACCAAGAATTTATCAAGATATCATAACTCTTTCCTAAGAAAAAGAGTGCTAGGCCTGGCATCCTGGAAAAAAAATTCAGATACACCAATAGAGTTATCTTCCTAAACATCCTCGACAGTTTCCACTGAATACAGTGTAGTTCACTTCCTGCTCTAACCTGCCGGGCTATGTTGTGCACTGTAAAACAAAAACAAAAACAGATGCATTCTAGCAGGGAATGTTTCCTCCACCTAATTCAAAGGGTTAGGTTTAACTTTTAATGCTTGCATACTGCTTTGAGACCTTTGAATGAGAGTTGCACAGAAGTGCATTTCTACTGAAATCCTGCAGTTAGTAGTATGTCAAAACACTCGTTATCTTGAGTGATTAGGGATTGCAGGTTTTCAACTAGACCAGTTTTTTGCTTGAAATAAAAACTGTAGATTTAAATACATAGGGACTTATATCCAGTTCACTGCAGGTGACACATGAAAATTGTTATAGCTAGAACTAAGAAAGCCATTTTTAAGCTGACACTGAAGAAAATATATGTAATTAGAATGTACTAGATGCTTGACTCAAGTTGAACTCCTGGAAGAGTTTGTTTTTTACTGTTGTTACCAAAATTAGACTTGGAGAGAAAATTATGCCAACCATATGGTAGAATGAGTGTCCCATGAGAATTATTGAGATTTTGAAAACTTTTCCCAGCCTGAATCAGGATGCAAAGTAAAAATTTTGAAGATTTTCATTAACTGATAATCTGCAAAAAAATTCAGGTCAAGACAATAAAAACATTTTGTATGGATAATTTCCAGCCATTTCTTTCTCTTTTTAAAAAGATTTTTAGCATAAATTAGCTAAAATTTCTGCATGAAAAGTTATTCCAAAGCAAAAGTGAAACTTTTAATTTTAAAAAAAGTGTCGAATTGGGATGTTCCATCAATTTCAACTTTTTTTTTTAAAACAGGAGATATGTCATAACAGACCCTTTCCCACAAAGTTTCAGTTTCAACAAACTGCAATTTTCCAATGAAAAACATTTCCTCAGAAAATTCCCAGCCAGCCCTAATAATGAAGCATGAAAGACATCTTTTTTACTCCAATCCTAATGGCCATTTTGAAGAATTTCTGTAGACAATAAATTCTCCTGCAATTC